GCGCTGCGCTCGGGCCCGGGACCCCCTCCCCGCGCGCCGCCTGTGCAGCTAACGAGCCTCTCTTCGCTTATTAGGCTGCAACTAGTTAATAATGTATAATCAGCCCCCCCGCCCCCCACGCCCGGGCGCCCCCGCGCCAGCCCTCCTCCCCCGGCTGCGCTCGGCTCCCCCGTGTGCGCTCGGGTCGCGGCAGGTTCACCGCGTCCGGCCGCCGGGCTGCTACCACCACTAGCCCATACTCCCGGGAGCCCCGCGCCCCGTGGCCACGCCGCTGAGCCCCCGCGGCCTCCGCTCGTTCTCGCCCCTCGCCGCCTCGGGTCCTCCTCGCTCAGTCCTCACCACCCAAGCCTCTCCGGCGCGCGCCCCGCAGCCGCCAGCAAGCAGCAGCTGCAACTACTACAGCGGGCGCGGGCTCAGGCCGCCCGAGGCGGGAGGGGAGGAGGCTCACCGCGCTGACTCGCTTGGCCTCGGCGCTGGACAAGGGGCAGACAGACCCCTCAGCGGCGGCCTAGCATGCGCCTCTGACCCCAAGTGAGGAAGGGTGACCGCCTAGTACTGGCTCGGGACCTGGTACCTCTCTCCAAGGTGCTGCGCCCCAGTTGAGCGCTCTGGGGCACCCGAGGAGATTTATGGGTGCCTAGGCCAGGCCGTTCCCCACCCCCACACACAAAGAAACCCCCAGGGAAAGCGAGCTGTCAACTCCATTTCACAGACTGGATGCCCCATCATCCTCAGGCTTCACGACAGGGATGGCCGCTTCTCCAGAATACACATCTTACTTGGACCCCTATTTCCTTTTACCTCTCCCTTTCCAAGGTGCCCATGTGCCTCGCTGGAAGGCAGGAGCAGGCCGCAGGAGACTGGAGGGAGGGCTGTGTCCTTCGACAGCAGCAGGTGGTTTCCCTGCTTTTTCCTTACTCAGCCAGAGACTGCCTGTGGCAAGGGTTGGCAAAGATGGGCACAGGATCCCTGGCCTCGGATACATACTGGCTCCAGCAGACAATGGAAGTCCCCAAATCACTCCCCTATCTGTTCTCTAAACTCAGCCTCCTTCCTTTGAGGAGGTAGCTGGGAGGGTGGGTGCCCCAGGCTCCATTCAAGCCCTCCTCAATGGAAAGATGCTCTTAGGGTGTTACCCCCACCTCCAAAGATGAAGAAGCAATGTGGGTTTGTTCAGGAGCTCTACCTCTACATCAGTGGGGCAGTGGGGCAGTCAGGCTCCCCTTCTCATTCTCTCAGAAACAATTGTTACTGCTGGACATTGTCCTTCCCCATGCTACCAACTGGACCACAGGTTTTTCCAGTGCTAATTAAAATGAAGATGATCACACTCTCCTCTTCCTGCCCATGGAGGTTTCCCCCAAAGTTTCCAGCTCATTAGTTTAAGCCTAATTGGAATTCTCAGGTTCCTCTCAACATTTCCTCTGGTAAGAGCCAAGTTAGCATCCTTCACTGCAAAAGCAGGTGCTGTTTCTGCCTAATTCAAAGCTCCATGCCTCCCCCTACTCTCAGAGTCTACAGGACACCAGGAAGGATGGCTGGGCAGAGAGGCTGAGAGGATGTTTGAGCTTCTCTTCCCACATTTACAAAATACTCACTGGGTTCAGGACCCATGTCCACCAGAGAAGAGCCCAGGCCAGGCGAAGGTCAAATGGAAAATGGAATAAGGTCAGAATTCCTGAGTATTTGGTATTCCAAAAACAGTAAAAGGGAGCTACAGATGGTATCTTCCAGAAGGTGAAGTTGTCTTTACCCAGATGGTACCTCCAGCCTCCCACTTTCTGTTGCACAGCCTCTATGAATGCATCCCTGACACTTAACTCCCATGCATGCAAAGGGCCTGGTGTCCCTTCCAGTACTGGGTTGGGACAGTTGGCCCCAATGTTCTTAAAGGATGTGCAAGAAGGTGACTGTGGGTGAATTTTCTTCATTTATCAGTCTTCTAAATGGCTGTTCTTAGCTACTTTTGGGTCTTGGTCTATGCCAGGGAACTTACTTGACTTTCCTTAAAATCAACTCCAGGATTTGATCTTTAAAAACACCTATTTAAAATTAGGACCATGTGACCAGTGGGATATAAAACCTCCCATACGATTCCCTCCCTCCCAGAGTTGGATTTCTGAAAACTAGTATATCCCCTCCAGACCTTCTGGGACATGTCTCACTACCCAGATTCCCCTCCAGTGCCAGTCTGCAGGGCTGTTAGCCAAAGGCTACTGGCTGCTGTGACTTCTGTTACCCTACTGAGAATCCCCAGTTGTATTTCTCCACCATCATCACCTTCCTTTGACTGGGTGCTGGCAGGCCTCTTGGACATCATCTTCCCTCTTCATTGTACCTGCCTGTTGATTGCAGCTATTGTGGCTTCTGTGTTATTCAGAATCTAGGCTAAGCTGGGACTGATCAGAAACCCTAAAGGTCAAGTCAAGACCCTGTCATTTGTATAATGGACACCACCGCTTCCCAGAATGGCCTGACTGGGGTAGGCACTGAATGAGAGAGTGCCACCATTCAGACCACCCGTCATTCAGACCACCCACCAGAAGCACACTGCACCTGCCCTCCGGGCACACCCATCAGTGCCCAGCACATCAGTTCCCCAGGTACCCCACCAGACTCAGCTGGCCAATTAAACAGGAAGTTCTGCACAGGTGGGAGGAGGCCTCTAGCTGCAAAGAAGCCTTAGGTGCCTTTCCTTCGTGTAAATTGAAATAAAACAGTTATTTTTAAGGGTAACAATTGAGAACTGTTACAAAAGAAGGGGAAAAGCTGAAATAAAAGTAGAAATGTCGACCCTGTCCATTCTGAAAACCGGTTATTTATCTCTGAATACATTTATAAGTGTCTCAGAAAGGAACGCAACCTTTTTTTTTTTTAAGATTTATTTATTTATACAGAACCGGGGTACAGGCCAGAGATGCGGATGGTGAGAGGATTCACTAGAGACAGAGTGGGGAGCAGAACAGGCAGATCGACGAAGTACACTGCTGAGGGGAGCAGCAGGCGGGCCAGG